TACGCATTTATTGCAATTTTAGAAATAATTACGGATCTATTGCACAATGTCACGCTTTTTTTTAGCGTCACATGTGACGCCTCATTTAGGCGTCTCTCATCTGAGGGAAGACGCACCATTGGGGCGTCTCTCACCTAAGGTTGACACGTGTCATTTTTTTCCAAAAAAATAATAATTTAATCATAAAATTTCTGAAGGTCATAACTTTTGACTCCGGTATCCAATTTAGGTAATTCTTTTTTTGATTCCACATAACTTTTCGAGATCTACGCAATGACATCTCATTTGATATATTTTATTTCTCATAAACACAATTTTAATTTGCAAGAATGGTATTATAAGAGCAGTTAAAGCAAGAAACCTCTGAGTTCTGGGTTTGTGATTTAATATAAAGAAATAAATAAAATTTTGATTTGTGATTTAATTTTTTTTATAATACTTTTTTTATTATAACAAAAATTTGGATTGTGATTTAAATTAAAATTAAAAATAAAAATTATTACTAATAAGGAAAACAATATATAGATTTGATTTGTGATTTAAACTAAAAAATCAATTTGAAAAATCTGTAGAAAAAAAGAAAATAATTAAATAAATATTCTAAATATCTAAGAAAAAAGGATATTATTTTTGAAATTAATGATTAATGCTATAAGCTTCTGGGTTATTATTCGTGGTCTGAAATTAATGATGGCTTATGAATGTTTTTAAAAAAAAAAATTACCTAAATTAGGCGTGATTGCCTCTTGATTGAAACCTAATTTAGACGTGATTGGTGACGTGTCAGGTGTTGACTAAATTTTTAAATCAAGATTTGATGTGTGATTTAATATAAAAAAAAAAAATTTGATTTGATTTAATTTTAATTTTTTTATTTTTATTATAAAAAAATTTGGTTTGTTATTTAAATTAAAAGTAACAATTATTATTAATATGGAAAATAAAATAAAGATTTAATTTGTGATTTAAACTCAAAAATCAATTTGAAAAATCTGTATTAATAAAGGAAATAACTAAATAAATATTCTAAATCTCTAAGGAAGAAGGATTACCTAATTTAAATTTAAATTACGTTTGTGAGAAATAAAATATATCAAATGAGATGTCATTGCGTAGATCTCGAAAAGTTATGTGGAATCAAAAAAAGAATTACCTGAATTGGATACTCGAGTCAAAAGTTATGGCCTTCAGAAGTTTTATGATTAAATTATTATTTTTTATTAAAAAAAAATGACACGTGTCAACCTTAAGTGAGAGACGCCTAAATGAGGCGTCACATGTGACGCCCAAAAAAGGCGTCACAATTTGCAATAGATCCGTAATTATTTCCAAAACTGCAATAAATGCGTAATTATTTAATTAAAATGCAATAATTAAATTTTTTTTCCAAACAATGCAACTAAAAATAATAGGTGTTTAATCTTAGGACACCATGACTTATTTTCAACACATCTCTTTAATTTTTTAAAAAATTCCTTTTATTCTTTAAATTTTCAAAAAAAAAAATTCAATTTTACTTGTGAATTATAAGTATTCTTCCATTTCCAATATTATTATTATTAGCTAATGTTAACAATTTAAATTTATTAATATATAAACAGAATAAATGTTTAAGTGAGGTGGCATAATAACTGTTTAGGGAAAAAAAAGTGAAAGTTGCCTACAATTTTTGTTAGTTTAATAATTAAATATCAACGTAAATTAATATTTTTAGGAGAATATGTTTATGAACGATGTTCAATTATTTTTTTAGTATCAACGATGTTCAATATCAACGATGTTTAAATATCAACGTAAATAAATATTTTTAGGAGAATATCAACGTAAATAATGTTATAAGTATTCTTCCATTTCTAATATTATTATTATTAGCATAATATTTTTGTTAGTTCAATTTTTTTATTTTTTTTGTGTACGTGTGTTATTGATTATGTTTATGAACGATTATAGGAGAATTTTTGTTGTCAAAACAATACAGGCAAAAAAATTTAATTATTGCATTTTAATTAAATAATTACGCATTTATTGCAATTTTAGAAATAATTACGGATCTATTGCACAATGTGACGCTTTTTTTGAGCGTCACATGTGACGCCTCATTTAGGCGTCTCTCATCTGAGGGGAGACGCCCCATTGGGGCGTCTCTCACCTAAGGTTGACACGTGTAATTTTTTTTCCAAAAAAATAATAATTTAATCATAAAACTTCTGAAGGTCATAACTTTTGACTCCGGTATCCAATTTAGGTAATTCTTTTTTTGATTCCACATAACTTTTCGAGATCTACGCAATGACATCTCATTTGATATATTTTATTTCTCATAAACACAATTTTAATTTGCAAGAATGGTATTATAAGAGCGGTTAAACCAAGAAGCCTCTGAGTTCTGGGTTTGTGATTTAATATAAAGAAATAAATAAAATTTTGATTTGTGATTTAATTTTTTTTATAATACTTTTTTTATTATAACAAAAATTTGGATTGTGATTTAAATTAAAATTAAAAATAAAAATTATTACTAATAAGGAAAACAATATAAAGATTTGATTTGTGATTTAAACTAAAAAATCAATTTGAAAAATCTGTAGAAAAAAAGAAAATAATTAAATAAATATTCTAAATATCTAAGAAAAAAGGATATTATTTTTGAAATTAATGATTAATGCTATAAGCTTCTGGGTTATTATTCGTGGTCTGAAATTAATGATGGCTTATGAATGTTTTTCAAAAAAAAAATTACCTAAATTAGGCGTGATTGCCTCTTGATTGAAACCTAATTTAGACGTGATTGGTGACGTGTCAGGTGTTGACACGTGTCACATTTTTAAACTCAGAAGCCTCTGAGTTCAGCGTTTGTGATTTAATATAAAAAAGAAATCAAGATTTGATGTGTGATTTAATTTAAAAAATAATTTTTTTATTTTTATTATAAAAAAATTTGGTTTGTGATTTAAATTAAAAGTAACAATTATTATTAATATGGAAAACAAAATAAAGATTTGATTTGTGATTTAAACTCAATAATCAATTTGAAAAATCTGTATTAATAAAGGAAATAACTAAATAAATATTCTAAATCTCTAAGGAAGAAGGATTACCTAATTTAAATTTAAATTACGTTTGTGAGAAATAAAATATATCAAATGAGATGTCATTGCGTAGATCTCGAAAAGTTATGTGGAATCAAAAAAAGAATTACCTGAATTGGATACTCGAGTCAAAAGGTATGGCCTTCAGAAGTTTTATGATTAAATTATTATTTTTTTTAGAAAAAAAAATGACACGTGTCAACCTTAGGTGAGAGACGCCTAAATGAGGCGTCACATGTGACGCCCAAAAAAGGCGTCACATTGTGCAATAGATCCGTAATTATTTCCAAAACTGCAATAAATGCGTAATTATTTAATTAAAATGCAATAATTAAATTTTTTTTCCAAACAATGCAACTAAAAATAATAGGTGTTTAATCTTAGGACACCATGACTTATTTTCAACACATCTCTTTAATTTTTTTAAAAATTCCTTTTATTCTTTAAATTTTCAAAAAAAAAAATTCAATTTTACTTGTGAATTATAAGTATTCTTCCATTTCCAATATTATTATTATTAGCTAATGTTAACAATTTAAATTTATTAATATATAACCAGAATAAATGTTTAAGTGAGGTGGCATAATAACTGTTTAGGGGAAAAAAGTGAAAGTTGCCTACAATTTTTGTTAGTTTAATAATTAAATATCAACGTAAATTAATATTTTTATAATCAGTCAATATTTTTTTTACGTTTTGATATCTTCACAAAACTACAAATGCTCAAGTCCTACAATTTAATTTTTTATTTTTCCTATATTTTGAATAAGAATTATCTAAGATATAAATTATATCTGTATAGATAAAAATTAAAATAAAATAAAAAGATGTTAAAATTATATAGCAGAATAAACATTTAAAGTGAAGTGGGCTGGCATAAAAGGCAACTTCTATATATATTGACCCGTAACAGGAAAACAGAAAAACCTCATAGCTTTCAAGAAACCAAAACCCAATTCACAAAAACATGAAAGAAATGTCAGCAACTGCATACGACACTGATGATGTCTCTGTTTCTTTAACCAAGAAGAGGAAGATTTATGAAGAAACTCATGTTGCTGCAAGAAAGAAGGTGTGTGTAGAGAGAAGTTGGGGTTACTCTTTGGATTTGATGCTTTATGATGACCCTTGGAAGATCAAGAAAGTCCTTAATGGCAGTGATCTTGGCAACATGAGGAGGCTCTTGCTCCCTAAAGATTTTGCTGAGAATTTGGTGGTGCCGGTGTTGGATGGAGACGTTGAAAGAGGTGTTCAAGTTGACATTTGGGATGTAGACACTGCCTCCATTCATTCTTTAATTTTCAAGAAATGGGTTTCTTCAAGAAGCTATGTTTTCATTGGAAATTGGGTTAAAGATTTTGTATCAAGGAGAGGCTTAAAGAAAGGGGATGAGATTGGCCTTCATTGGGATCCATACAAAAATCGCTTTAATTTTTCTGTTCTTGATGCCTTTTAGGATTGATAACAGTATTAGGATTCGTGTGTAGAAACAGATGTATTGATATTTTCTCTTATTCTGAAGCAGAAAATAGCAAGCAGAATTTATGGTTTAAAAATCGCTTGATTTCGCTTGTTCAATTTGAATTTTTTGTATTGATAGCACCAATAGCAAGCAGAGTTTATGGTTTAAATTTATCATCCACAAGGAGCTTGCGATCAATATGATAGTTGTATAAAATTAAGACACATAGATAGTGACACATGCAACCCCTCACGTGTAGGACACTTGATCTATCCCCTTTCGAATAGATACTTCAAGCTTTTGTGATCACTAAAGACTGTGAAGGTAGCACCATACAAGAAGTGTCTCCATATTTTCAACGCAAAAACAACGGCCGCTAACTCAAGATCATGAGTAGGGTAGTTCTCTTCATGTGGTCTCAACTGTCTAGAAGCATAGGCCACTACCTTTCACTCCTGCATCAACATGCACCCTAATCCATACTTGGATGCATCACAATAGATCTCAAATCTCTTCTCTGGATCAGGAAGAATCAGAACCGGTGCGGTAGTAAACTTATCTTTTAGTTCCTGGAAACTCACATCACACCCAAGGGTCCATGCAAATGGCACCCCCTTACAGGTCAATCTAGTCAATGGTAAGGTGATTCTGGAGAATCCATTAATAAACCGCCTGTAGTATCCTGCTAAACCCAGAAAACTCCAGATTTCAGTAACATTCTTGGGTCTCTCCCAATCCAGCACAGCTTCAATTTTACTCGGATCAACAGCCACTCCTGTAGATGAGATGATGTGTCCAAGAAACTGGATCTCATGTAACCAAAACTCACACTTGGAGGGTTTGGCATATAACTGATGCTCCCTCAAAATCTGTAGGACTATCTTCAAATGCTCTGCATGCTCTTCTTTACTCTTGGAGTAGATTAGAATATCATCAATAAACACCACTACAAACTGATCTAGATGTGGTTTAAAGATTCGGTTCATATAACTCATGAACACGGCTGGGGCATTAGTAAGCCCAAATAGGATCACTAGATACTAATAATGCCCATATCACGAAGATGACTGGTACACCCCAAGGAGATACACTCGGTCTGATAAAATTCTTGTGGGACAATTATTCTAACTGCTTCTTCAGCTTAGCTAGCTCCACTGGTGACATCCGGTATGGAGCCAATGAGATAAGCCCCACACCAGGTACTAAGTCAATTGAGAATTCAATCTCCCTCTCAGGTGGAAAATGAGGAATTTCTTCTGGAAATACGTCTTCAAACTCGCATACAACCGGAATATTAGCAGTAGGTTCTTTGGAGTCTCTTACGAGTCCTCCCAGGATAATGTATCCTGCATCTCCCTCATCTAGAGCCTTATTTAACTGCGGTGCTGTCAAGTACAAATTGTCCGGCTTTTCTCCTTTTGCAGCAAAGAAAACTCTTATGCTACAACAATCTAGCATCACACCATATCGGACCAGCCAATCCATACCCAAGATAATGTGTAGATTCATGCCCTCAAGCACTATCAAATCCACCATATACTCTTCTTGCTCATATATGAATCTGACTTCTTTGCACTTCAAAGAAGTAGAAACAATGTCTCTGGTGGTAGTCTTCACTACCATGGGAGGCGTGAACTCATGAATGGGCAAATGTAATCCATTAGAAACAAATTCTGATATGAAGGAGTGGGTAGCTCCAGAATCAAACATGGCGTCAAATTCATATCCTCTGATAAGAATAGTACCTTTGATAAGGTTTGGAGACATCTCTGCCTCCTGCTGTGTCACTCAATATACCCTGGCACTAGTGGGCGCCATAGGCTCCTCTATGGCCTCTGAGCAGACACGGACTGAATAGGGATCGCCTGAATGGCTGCAACTTGCCCCGTCTTCTTGGGGCACTCTCTGGAATAATGTCCTGCCTGACCACAGCTGAAGCAAATATTCTGCCCCAGTCGACAAACACCTGTATGCATCTTCCTACACTTGGAACAAGTGGGAATCTTCCCTGCACCAGACATTCTGCTTCCATTCTTCACAAAGGGAGTCTTCTTAAACTTGGAGTTCTGCTGTGCTTGCAAACCTTTTCCCTTACCCTTCCAGGGCGTAGTCCTCCCACTGAAGCTCTTTCTCGCTGCTTCATTTCCCCTGGTACAATAGTGCTCCTGAATATTCTGGCACTGCTTGATCAACTCCACAAAATCTCTGGTGCAATGACCAGCAAGTTTGTCTGCTATCATATCATTCAGACCCTTCCTGAATCGAAAGGCCTTGTCTTCTGGCGTGAGGGTAGCTCTACCATAACACGAATATTTTGCCAAGCGGTTGAACTTGCTCAGATATTTATCCACAGTCATGCCTTCCTGCCGGAGGTCTTCAAACTCACTCTTCTTCCTTTCCCTGGCTTCTTCAGGGAAGTACTTCTGCAGAAAATGCCTCTCAAATAACGGCCAAGTAATAGCATAACCTTGGCACTCAAGTGGGTTTCTAACATTACTCCACCAGTCAGCAGCGTCCCCCTGTAACATGTACACTGCATATAGGAGCTTCGTGTTGGCATCACATTCCATAACCTGAAAAATGCGCTTCATCTCTTGGAGCCACTCCAATGCTGGGATGGAATCTCTTCCACCTTTGTAGTGAGGCGGGGAATGCTTCTTGAAAGCATTCATCATACACTCTCTAGTATCCCGGTCAAACATGGGTGGTATAGCTGATCTATCAACCTCAATAACTGGCTGCCTCACTCGTCCCTCGTGGACAGATGCCTCCGCCTCCTGATGGGCCTCTCCTGACCCTTCTTGTCCCATCACAACAGGCTCAAGAATCTGTACGGGACCAACAGCACGTGCAACCTGCTGCTGCACCTGTGGTGTAACTGGCGGTGGAGGTGGGGGTGAAGGTGGTGGAGGTCCTCCTCGTACTCTGTCAACAGTAGTCGGATCATCTCCGCATTGGCCAGCCTATTTTGTGCCATAAGGTCTTCACTGGCCTTTCTCAACTGCTCTCTATCGCGCTCTCTGGCCTCTTCTATCCTCTTCAGGTCAGCTTTCCTTGTCTCGCTCAAGGTTTACTGTAGTGCCGCTATAGCAGCAGCAACGGGGTTCGGTGGTGGCTTTTGAACTACCCGTCTAGGTCTCCCTCGAGGAGCCATGATATCTACACACAACTGCACAAGGTATGAGTTAGCTACGCTCAATCAAGTGATGAAATATGCAATATCATGATGCTCAAGAGATACTCAACAGGTAATTCAAACACTTAAGCAATAAATCAGTGAACGTCCTGGTGAAACTGCTCTGATACCATAAATATAACACCCCGTAGTACTCCGGTTGTTAACAAACATGATATTTAACATTCACAGCGGAAGGCTTTATTTTAAAAGAATACTAACACGTTTTACAAAAATACGAGTAAACTTTTTCCAAAACATTTTATAAAAACATTTCTAAAAACGTTCATGTGAGATACTGCGAAAGCGTAAATCTAAACATACATCTACTAATTACTCCTATGAGCCAGTATTAGTGGCCATTGACCATCAAGATATGACATCAAGTGTCATTCTTGACGGAGTCTCACGGACAACATAACGGTTGTATTTTGGATAACTGGGAACATGGTCCCACACATACAGATCACCTAATGGATACAATAATTTAAACAGATAGCTTGCAAATCCCACAGGGATTGCAATCCCCTCAATAGGTCAATACAAATAATAAGGCTCCATGCCCAAATTAACTGAATACATGCATCAAGTGTATATATAAAAGCATCAATAAATAATCCATGGCTCTAAGAATACAATCATGAGCCTAAATAAATACATACAATAATCTCCATAAAATAATTACGCATGTTAACAAGTCTACATGCCAACATCAAATCTAAACATAATATAAAATCATCAGCTACATCATCAACTACTCCAATGCGGGGGCCTTTCCATTAGAAGCATCACCACTACTCTGGGTACCTGAAATGATGTCTCCAAACGGGGTGAGATAACAACATCTCAATAAGCTCAAGGTTCATGGAGGATCCTCTAACCCCTGAGCCCACTTCCTGCATGACAAGTCAGTTATAAAGCATATAATACAGACATACAACATAAACATAGCATCATCATATCATCCTTGTGTAACCCCAAGGTCAAAGCCATAGACGGTTACACATGTGTGACTTCCAAGGTCAAGCCATAGACAGTCAACACAACCTCAGTATGAAATAGCTCCCAGAGTCAAGTCATAGGCAGCCTACATACCATGATCACTGGCCAGGATCCTCATAACATATATCATCAGTGCATCATCATAACATCAAGAACATATAACATCTATATGAATGTGAATGAATGCACATATAGATTATACCATTTACTTTCATACAATACAACCATAATGCCCACCATCATGGTGGGGCCACAAGAGAGGAGTCAACTCTGAACAGGGACCTAAACATCATTTACCATTTCTTCTATTCGGGAAAATATACTAAACTAATTGTTCTCAAATATTTATGTAGACAACTAGACAACTTTATCTTTAATTAGACTTATTATGAGCCTAATTTGAGTAATCACAGAGGGAGAAACAATTCGTGGAAGTTATAGCCATGTACAGCCCCTGCACATGGCCTCCATGTGCAGTCGTCACTCAAACGAAGATACAGAACGGAATACATCTTCAATTGATACCACATTTTGACATCACATAGCCAACATCTCAACCTTCAATTTGATATAAGGCACAACCCTATATGACCTTCGTGGAGGGAGATATGCTCTCCCCAATTACTCCTAAAAACTGGTTACTTAGCCTTAAATGTGTTTACTTAACAAACCTTAATCACTTTTGATTATAAATCCTAATTCACATTAATTCCTGGATTTTTCTATTATTAAGTCGCATTATGAAATATCCTTAGTGTCATTATGTCATGATACTTAAATTTTACTAATTATTTAATTAGTGTACCTAAACCCTACTTTAGTCCAATTTTAGAGTTAAATCCTTAATTACTTTTGTTAATTAATCTCTACCCTTAATTAATTCCCTAATTCATCCTCTCCATAATTTTAACACAACTAAACCCTTATATACTTTATGAGGCAGATTTGATGAGCTATTTTAATTAGGGTTTTTAGCCATTATTAAACATGATTAGTGAGTTTTACTTAGAGTTAACCCACCTAGTTAATCTTTCTAATCATTTTTCCACACTTAACAACTTAATCACATTTTTTTAACATCAAACCTTATTATTACATGACATGGCTGAAATCATCAAGGGTCCATATAGGGTTCATGTTCATCTTTTCACATGAACAACACACAAAGGTCCAAAGGTGGCACCTTTACTCATCAAATCCATGATTCCATGGTTTAAAACACACACACCCTTAAAGATCTTCATCAAACCATTACTTTACAAAATTTTGAACAACATTCTCCTCATGAACATATCAAAACCGAGGCACTCAACAAGAAAAAGGGAGGCTTTTTGGTTCATATTTCTCAAGTGAGAGCTTACATCTTCAAGGTTCCTCCTTTAGCTCAAGCCTCCACCTTTTTCCACCAAGAACCCTCCTTTAAGCAAGAACAAACCTTCATGAACATGCTCATGAGTTAGGCTCAAGAACACAAGAAGAAAAGATGAGGTTTTTCATGAAAAAATCAAGAGAACTTACCCACAAAATCACAAGAACCAAGCAACCAAGTGTGGTTCTTCAAGAGAGTTTAAGAACACAAGTCACGCCCTTGAACATCAACATAACCGTGGCTGTTTGTGAGGTGAGGGACATGAAATTTTTGATTCACACCATGAAAATGGTATGGTGGTGAAGAGGAGAGTGAGAGGAACAACTTTGATGAAGAAGATTTTGTGTTTTGGAGAGGTTTGGATGGAGGAATTCTAGAGAGAAGTGAGAGAAAATTCAAAAATCAAATTTTAGAGAGAGGAATAGTGAGGGAGGCGCTGGTTTCTGAATCAGCCATGGGAAGGTGGTGCCCTAATGTGGGGGTGCCATGTCATTAAGTGACCATTCGTCCTTTAGTGAGACCCGGTGTAATTTTTAACTGATTCGGCGTTAGATTTTTACCGAAAAACTCCCAAGACTCTAACTTTAAGTACTTAACATTAATTTTGTCTAATTATCATGTTCATAACTTAAAAATTTAATTAATAGATCACAGGTCCACTAACAAATGATTAATTACACTATAGTTTTTACTAGTGTTCTTAACGGTACCCGGATTTCATAATCTTCTTAACTTTATCATTTTTGGTCTAATTATGACTTGTTAGGCATATATTGGTATTTATTTCTATTTGCTCATCTTTTTCACGTTTAAGGATTCTACCGGCTGCTGCTACAGCAGTACAAAATACCTGGCAGAAGTGACTTTTCAAAAATACCCCAATATTAGTATCAATCTTCGTCAAATAATATCCTAACCTCATTCATGATGTTTATATATTATATTAGCTCTCTAACTATAATTTGCTAACTTGGAGCTATTCTACTGACTGTTATTACGTCAGTAGTCAAAATTAACAGATGAAAATTCATCTGTGCATAATACCCTCAATATGGGTATCAAAAATTTTAGAGTTTCATCCTCATTTCATTTATGACCATAAGGTCCTCATCATAACCCTCTAATTTAAAAAAATCATATATTTAGGGTTATTATATTCTATATGGCACAGGCACGGTCTTTTTTTTGAAAATTTGTGTGTCGGACACGTGTCCGACACGG